CTTAAACTTACGAATGCGTCCGAAAATAGTTTTAAAATTACTTTATAATAATATTAAACTTCCCTAATTAATTAACAAAGTAATTATGTTGTTTTTATTAATAAAAAAACTAACCAATTTTTATCTTAAGTGTCGGACAACTTTCGATCTTACCCGATGTAATCACGGATCTACTTTCGTAATATCTGATCAAATAAACTATACAAAAATCATATTAAAACCAAAACAGCCCCTAAAGCATTCTTACAGACACAACATATTTAGTATCATCGAAACGACGATCCTCACATTCCAACACTAAAGATTTAGCTGGACATGACTACGGTAAACAACATAGCATATAATTGATTATCAAAATAAATCATTTAGGGAAAATGCGTGTTAAGTGTGAAATTGGTTTTGGAAAGGTAACGACAAGAACAACAGGAAAATCAAATTAAAACGTGTGAGACAATAAAGAAATTAAAACATAACGATAAAATAAGGGCAGTGCGAGAAATAAACAAAAGTAAAGACGATGTGAGAAATAAATATTAAAAGTGCGAATTGAATTAAAAATCTACTCTAAAACAGAGACTTGAATCTGGTACAAGACTGGTACATAAAATAATGATAAGCTTCTACTCTACGATTGCTCAACACTCGCTCACAATAATGATGCAATAATTCCTCGATTGACAAATTATCACTTTTACAAAGTGAATCTATGCCTATGTTGCGACTAAGAGTGGATACTAAAAATGGAAAACTAAGTCCTATTTATAGTGAAACAGTGCCTTGGATGTCAAGTTGGGCCTTTAGAAATTGTGGGAGAGAAAACCTCTGGTCATGGCTTAACCTCCAACCGCCTTTGACTGACTCCTCTTTTGTGAAGATGGTGTCCGCCATATAGGCACGATGTCCTCCATGTGTGTATTTGGAGGTGGACGTGGTCTCATGACCATTTGGTCGTGGGAGAAACCCTACACCTCACGGCTACCCCCATGGCCAACGCCATGTAGAATGCCATGTGTGTAGTCAACCCTAAAATCTCAGTTTTTCGCTCGTTTCGCTTTGTTTCTTTGTGAAAGACTCTTATTAGGCAATGTACCTGAAAGTAAGACACAACAAAAATATAATGCAAGAAAATAATAATTAAACGACAATAAATATGTGCAATCTGAGCCAAATACGCAGTGTGTTTCAGTGTTATCAAATTCTCCCACACTTAAATCTTTACTTGTCCTCAAACAAACTCTTATGAGCATAAAAGAAAAACAGCAACACACAAGTAATAAATTCATGCTACAGACTCTTAGTTTGATCAAGGTTGCGTCGATAGGTGCTAACTCGTGAACCAAGGATATTGTAGTAATATTTCTCGCGGGTTACGGTCATAAGTTTCCTTCATATACAAATCAATTTGTATCATGTTATTATACCTAGGCCTAACTTACTCATCCCTCTCTTATCCTTTTTCATTTAGGCACAATCACATTAAGCCCGTTATCTTGTACTCGCATGGTGAACAAACCTGTTGGTGATCCTGATCCAAAATTGTGTCAATATTCAATCATTCTTGCTTTTTAGCACAGACACATAAGCACAATTTTTAGAAGTTTCACTACCGTTGGGCTAAGTAACTGAATGAGGGTTACCTAACTTAGAAGTGAATCCTTTTTCAAAAATCTTTGCTTTTTTACATGAATTTTTCTCTTTCTTTTTATGGGATCATTCACCTATTTGCATCGGTTCATCCACTTAGCGGTAACTTAGATGATGCTGACTGCTAAAATAAACTACTTAAGGATTAATTCAAGGGTGAGGCTTTTTTTGGAAAAATGAAGTCAATATGTCTTGTATTCTTGTTTATGTTGAACATGTACTTGTCATTGAAGTGCAAATGTTAATGAATCTATTGAAATTTCAAGTTGTTGAAATATTGTACCACTGTTGCTGTAACGATTATATTGAAATGTTGTTGGAATGTTGAAAAGTGACGTTGTTATAATGTTGTTACATTTGTTTATGAAATACTCTAATGTTGTTATGGAATGCTAAAATGTGATGTTGTTATAGTGTTGTTACATTTGTTTATGAAATATTCAAATGTTGTGATGGAATGTTGAAATGTGATGTTGTTAATATGAAATGTTCAAATGTTGTTTATGAAATGTTCAAATGTTGTAAATTGGCCATAATATGCCTTAGTTTGGCTATAATTTGCCTTAGTTAGGCCTAAATTGTAACACATTATGACAATATGATAACATAGTTTGGCCATATTGTGCCTTAGTTAGGCCATAATGTATCAGGTCTTAATGTAACAATATTAATTAGCCACAATGTAACAACACAATTGTATGATAAACAAAACACAGTAAATCGATAGTATGTCATTCATCATAAATGTATTATAGCAACATTACATACGAAGGAATTTGATCCAGTCATTACATTACAAAACAAAATAAGGTAGTAGGTCCAATCATTACATTATAAAATAAGGTAGTAGATCCATTCCATTGAAGTACATTACATAATAGAAAACATATTAACCACAATACATATGACATGGTGAATATACAATACCAATCAAATATCTTCAAAATATCTTCATTTTATCAACATAGTTTTCATGATGTGAGGCCTTTGCAAATGTCTGCCCAACTTTTTGATGTCTTAGCACCACCAAGGACATTTACTGTGGTTTTCTCTTCAGTTGTCACTAATGGATCACCAGGTTGTTTATCATGCCCAACTATGTCTCTTGCTTTTAGGGTCCTTAGTCTGTCACTCTTTCTTTTTTTTCAATAGTCAAATGAACATTATTCTTCACCTTATTCTTTGGTATCAGTCTCTTGACCTAGCAGAATAAGGTATATGCATAAGTGTTAAATGTTGATAACTAAATCAAGTAATGAATAACTGAGTTTGATTTACTCAAAGGATCAATGCTGCTTGGCTTTTGTGTAACATTCACACAATACCTGATGGTTTGAAGGCATTGTTGGTATATGCTTTTGTTTTTTTATACCAAAGAAAGTCCTAATACCAACTAACTTTGATGGAAGTTCCTTTGATGCACTTTGTTTGATAGGTGATTTGTCAATACTTAAAGGTTGAATGTCCAAAACCTCTTCATTACTCAATAATGCCTCCAACGTCTTAGTTTCCAAGTCAGAATACTTGCCCAAGCTTGTCTGTTGTCTTGGTTACTCAACATTGTTGGCTGGTTACTCAACATTGTTAGGAGGAACTTCAACATATGTTTTTCTTCTTTTTTGTTTTAACTGCAGTTTTAGTCTTTGTTGTTGTCTTACTGGTGCTGGCATTCACTAACCCTTTATGCCTCCCCTGATATAAGTAAAGACATTATTAAATGACATAAACCATTTGCACATAAACATAAATTGAAGTTAGAATAATACCTTTTTTTATGCTACTTGAAAGTGTTTCCTGGGGAAGTCTTCCTCATTTCAACATCATATGACCTAAGCAAACTATATTGGTTGCTAGAATTCCTTTCTATAATTTGTCTGGCCAACTGCCTTGCTTTGGAAGCTCTACAACCTGGAATTTCAGTTGCACACCTAAGTCTCACATTTTCTACCACCTTATTTAATTTCATTTTTGTATTATTTTTCAAGCCATCAACAATAACCTTTGCAACCCACTATGCTTTAGCACTTTTGTTAAAAAACTGTCTTCCACACTTGTGTTTGTGAAACAAATTCTTTATCCTAAATGTTATGGTGGTTTAAACTCTATTGCACAAGACAATATAGTTACAAGTTTTTTTGTTTTTACATACCACCGTACACCTATTTGCATAATTTTTTTTCAAATCTCACTTCCCTCCCAATCAACACATTATGCTCTATTATAACTTCTTAAACTATTTCAGTGAAGAGAACTCTATTCTAACCTTGAAAGTAAAATGCTTACTAAGGGCATCATCTTTTTTGAATCTAATTACACTAGGCCCATCATAACAACTATCGTCATCTGCCCCCATTATAAAGTTTATCAATCATGTACTCTTCTCTGATAACACGTTCCTTACATATCTCTTGTGTGATAAATATGTTATTGGGTGGTTTGCTTGGGTTATCACCATCTCAAGGTTCACCATCAACTCCTTCATTCAAGCCTTCATCTACCCTTTTATCCTACCTTTATCCATACTTTCATCAAAGCCTTCATTAAATCGTTTCATCCTCTCCTCCTAACTTTTGTCAAAATACACACCCTCCACAGATTCATTAGTAGACTCACTTTCAGATTCACTAGACTTGTCAACCTCTTCTTTAGATTTCTTCCCAACCTCTGCTTCAAATTTTTTCCCCTTGCCTTTTTCTCTAACCCTTTCCATAAAAGTGGTCTCTATTATAACTCATTTCGGCCCATATATTTTAATATTAAATTTAATAAAATTGTGTTATTATGGTCAAATAAATAGTAGTTATTTATTTTTCCAATTCCTTTAACTATACCACTTATTAAATTTAAAATTTAAAAAGAGTTATTTGTGAAAGATAAATTTGTTAAAAAATATTTCATTAACAAATTCATAATTATTTGAAAAAAAGGAGATATACATTCACCATGTAAATTAATTTTACTTTATTAACAATGATTATCATATATTTCACAAAATCAAATAAAAAATATTAAACTATTTGTATAACATAATAAAATTATATATTTTTATTTAATGACAATGTAAAACTCTTTTACATTTTTACCATATCATGGCATAGAAATTAATTTCTTTTTATTTTTTTTATTTTTTAACAAACTCCCAAAATAAACAAATAAATAAATACCATATAAAATAAGAATTCGGCACACGATTTGAGAAAAATTGTTGGATAAGAAGCCCAGGATCAGATTTGGGCCGGGTCCGAAAACAATAATATTTAAGCCATTTCATTTTACTCAACTCCTTCCTCTGGAGATTTTAGGGTTTTTGTTTCTGTGAACAGTTTCTTAGGTCTGAGCCAATATCCTCTGCAAAAATGGTGAGCGAATTGTTTTTCGATTCAGATCTGAATTCTTTTGTCTTCGTTTCTCTTGTGTTTATCATCTCTTCGTTGTCAATGTTTACTTTTTTTTTTTCATTACAAAACTGTAAACGCAATAATTGCTTTGTAAAATTTAAGTTCAACGATGCATGAAGAAAATCCTCAAAGAAACGCCATGCTAAATAGTTTGATTTATAAGATGGTTATGAAACAGTTTTTATGTTGTTTTTCAATTTTTTGATGGCAGATTTGATATTCTAGCAGCGTTTTATTAACTGGTTGGAGTTGTATTTTTGTCTATGGTGGTTTATGTTCTGTTTGGGTTCTAATTGCTTTGATAGTGTTGGATTTGTAGAAGAGTAGTTGTTAATCTGTTTGTTGTTTGTAAAGGTTCTTCAAAACGATATTGATTTGTTAAACCCTCCTGCTGAGCTTGAGAAGAGAAAGCACAAACTCAAGCGTCTTGTTCAGTCACCAAACTCTTTCTTCATGGTATCATTTATTTGTTTTGCAACATAAAATTGCTAAAAATTATTTTTGGAAGATTTTCTTTATTAGAGTTTTTTTTATAATTTTTTTCCTTTCTCATTTTGCAGGATGTAAAATGCCAGGGTTGTTTCAACATGTAAGTTGAATCCACTTTTTCATGTGATTATTTAATCAATATTTGTGTAATTGTAACCGTTTTCAATTAGGAGACTCTAGTTTATTATAATAGCATCAGACATTATTGTTAAATACAGATTGTATCAAGAATTGAACATATTGCTATTGTAGAGGGGCTATAGTTATTGAACCTTCTTTGTTTACTATGATCTGTTATGGACATTAGTATCCTATATAAGTAATTTTTTATAATTATAATTTGCTTATGTGTTTTATATCTTGAATTTTGATGCAGAACTACTGTCTTCAGCCACTCTCAAACTGTTGTGGTGTGCGGTAACTGTCAAACTGTTTTGTGCCAGCCAACTGGTGGCCGCGCAAGGCTAACAGAAGGATGCTCCTTTAGGAAGAAGGGAGATTAAATGGTGTGTCATTTTTACTTTGTCTAAGGTTGGAGAGTTGTGGTTGTTAGGCTTTTAAGATGAATCAATATCTTTTTATGTTTTAGTTTCAATGTATTAAATTGTTTAATTTCAGGACTTGCAAACAAACAGCAATCTTTTCCAAGACTTTTATAATCTAGACTTTTAATTTACTTGTCTGCATCTTGTTATGATAGGTGTTTGCTAAATTTTCTTATATTATCATGATTCTTCCTTATGATTTCAGTTCTGCATGTATGTCATCTATGTTTTTTTCCATGAGGTAAGTTACATGTCTCTTTCCAATTGTGATTTTCAGTTGATGTTTTCTTTCTATGTTGATGTTTTTCAATTGTTGCACTGTCCTTTCATGTTTCTTTTGTTTAAGAAACTCTTTAGGTATTAGTTTTCTTTGGAGGTTCAATTTGTGTATTTAGTTGTTCAGTAATGACAGTGTGCCTAAGGCCGAGCGCTTCCCTCTTTAGTTAGGGGTGGCGTGGTATTTCCACGAGAAAAGGGTATTCTGTGGCACACTTATTGTGTGTAGGCGCAAATCAATTCACTTTTTAGTGAAGGGCTTCTTGGCCGCTTTCCTGCGTTAGCAATCAGCAGGTTGAGCAAAAGAACTGCCCTACATTACATGCTATCAAATTACCTGATTAATTTCAATCATTGTTAGTTCATTGGCATGTTATATCTGCACTTTAATTCTATTTTTTTGACATCTTCATTTATACAATTGCTTTACATTACATTGTTTGCATTATTGTAATGTTTTGTTTTTGATATCTTTATTCTTTTTGATTTCTTTCACTCCTTGATGCCATAAGATGTTCAATTCTGTTTAAAAAAAATAATTATAATAGATATTTAGCTCTATTTAAAAATAGTAAATTTCAGCGTAGTATTGGTCTGTTAGATAACTAACAAACATCCCGTTTATTCACGATTTGGTGTTTGTTCATATCATGATACTAGTGCTCTATATTTAAAACCATGGCAAAGTCTATGAATTGTTAATGAATCATAGATACAGGTAGTCTCTATCTTTACTTGCCGTACCTAGCTTTACGTTGAAATTTTGAGGACGTGCCATTTTTTAGTTTTAAATCCTCAACTGATACGTACAATATCTAGCTACTTTATCTAAACAAGTTCCATAATTTATCTTTCTAATCTTTTCTCCTGTGACTTATTGTGGATACTTTGTAAAAACAACTGTTCAAATTGGAAAATGTCTCTTGAGACTTTGTATTGAAAAACCATATTTAGTTGAGTTGACTTTTTGTTTTGTGGAAAAAATGGTACAATAGATAATAACATAGTGTCGCCATTTAAGTAGGTTTAGCTAAGTTTTTGTTTTTAGAATTTCAAAACAATAAAGTTTGTTTATAAATTTGGTTTTACCAAATTATTTTTGGAAACATTATCTTTTAAGTGTCTAAAAGTAAAAAATTTAGATAAGATTTACATTGATTTAGATTTTGAAATTAAGAGGAAAAAAAAAGAATTTCGTGCGTTTTATATTAATGTAAAGTCTTTAATATTATTTAATTGTAAAATTTTAATAGTAATATTATTAAAAATACTTTTTCTTTATTTTTTTAAAAATTAATTTGCAAATTAGATATAAAGTACTGAAAGCGAACACATTTAAAGCATTAAGTCGTTGCTGTCTCTTGTGAGGGAGCTTGATGGATCTTTTGAAAAATGATTGAAAACTTGTAAAATTAAATACTTTATGTCAAATGATTGAAATAAGAAGAATTTTAAAACACCAAAATATTTCTTTTAAACGTTTGAAAAGTGAAAAAAAAGGATATAGTTTAGTCTAACGTGATATACTTATGGAGGAAACCGAAAGAAAATAGAATATTGTAATTTTTAGTTTGGACTTGAACTAAACCATTTCAGTTTATTGGTTTATATACTGTCTTGGAAATTTTAAACTGTATTGAATTATTAATTATTTTTTGAAAAGTTAAAAAAATTTTGTTATTATTTTTAATTTTTAATTTTGGATTGGATATAGTTTTAGTTTGGTTTGGTTTTAGATTAATAGTTTAAGAAATATTGTTTAATTCAATAATCAAATATAGTGATTTAGTTATTTTAACTTTATTTTGATGTGGTTTTATTTTGTTATTTTTTAATTATAAATTAGATAAAAATGTTAAACTATGTAAAATTTTCAACTTAAATGATATTTTGATTTGTTTACTTTGATTTTTTTAATTAATCCTTCCATTTTAATATTTAGCTTTGATTTTTAAATTTTATTTTTCTTAAGATTTTCATGATTCCTTTCACTTTTGAATATTTGATATTCTCATTATGTGGCAATGCAACTGTGAAATTTTCACTTTGAACTCATGTCTTTTTTGTGTGAATATTTTAATTATTTTTACTTATATTTTATTTTATAAAATATTTTTAACTTTTATAAATTATTTAATTTAATTGTAAATAATATAAAATTAATATAATATAAATTAGAAGATATAATTTTTTTTAACCTTAATTCCTTTTTGCTGTATGTCTTTGTAGAACATGTAGAATCCTCAATCCTTTTTGAACATTGATACAAACATCAAACACAAAGCTTATAATTGTAGCATTTCATACATATTCATAAATATGAATAGTGGACAATTGATGTTTTGTCCACTATTTTTCTTGTCCCATTTGGAGTGTCACCATATCCCAATTGTTTTGTTTTGCCTGTTGTATGTTTAGTTGTGGTCTGTTGTCTTTTTCATTCATGTGAATTTATTGTGGTCTCATAGTTGTTTTCTTATTTATTTATTTATTATTTTATATGTATTCAATCAATTTTCAGACTAAGTCAAACTAATAAGGTTCATTCATGTGAATTTATTGTGGTCTGTTATCCTTTTCATTCATGTGAATTTATTGTGGTCTCATAGTTGTTTTCTTGTTTATTTATTATTTTATATGTATTCAATCAATTTTCAAGCTAAGTCAAACTAATAAGGTTAGGTTAAAAATGCATTATAGAGGGAGATTAATTTCTGAACTTGTTAAGTGATATGTTAGTGAAGAGGTAACTGAGATGAATTGGCAGTGGGATGTGAGCTTCATGTCATACGTGGATGTGCAGAGATTGATTATAAGTGATGGTTATGTTGACATAAAGCGTTTGTGGTATAAGAACCTTATCTTCACCTTTTCACGTGTTCTTAGGCCATTGAATAATGATAAGGATGTGTTTTATTTTGCCAAAGATTTTGTAGGACACGAGGTGATAGATGTATTTGTGGGCACAAAGTATCTGACCCTTTTGTGATTCTGGATCCAAATGAATTAAATAACTACATTGATGAGGATGATGTGCAATGTATTGGTTTTAGTGAGCATGACGTTGAATTGAATGAGCTTAATATTGATTCGACTAATGAACAAGTTGAAGTTTGTGAGGGCAATATTGAAGTTAATAATGAACAAACTGAATTTAGTGAGGGTAATGCTGAAGTTAATAATAACCAAGTTGAAGTCAATGAACCTAATTTTCAATTTAATAATGAACAAGTTAAATTGAATGACGATGATTATGTTCAAAGTGAGTATAATGAGTGTAGTGAAGATAATGAAGTTAATGGTGCCAGTGAAGATTCTGAGGAGATGGACTAGACCAAAGTATTACCCCTTGAAACTTTAGGTGAGGCTAGTGGAAGCAAAGATCCAGCTGATATGTAAAATGATGAATGTGAAGATTCAGATCATTTATACACACCTTTGGGGAGTGACAATTATGAAGATATAATTAAGTTTCTAACTTATAAGAGTGGCGAGGAAAGTAAGTTTCATTTAGGAACGATGTTTACAAACAAAAGAGATGACAAGATATGCTATCTAAGAATATGGAATGGAAAATCAAAAAAGTGTTTTCATCAAGAAGAATAATTCCAAAAGGATGGTAATTAGGTGTATGGCTCGTTGTAAGATCTACTTAAGGATTAGTAAAAGGAATGGGCAACAATATTGACAAATTGTTAGTTACGTTGATGATCATACATGCCACATAACTGCACATAATAGGAAGGTTAAGACTATGTATTTGGCTTGCAAAAAAATTTGCAAATGTACTAAGGCATAATCCTTACATTAAGCCAACAAGTCTCATGACTAAATCCTTTGAGAGGTGGGGTATGAAGATATTTCAAGATCTAGCATACATGGCAAAAAGGAAGGTTATGGATTTTATTCAAGGTGTTGGTTTTGATTAATTTAATCATTTAAGGAGTTATGTTGAAGAGTTGTTGAAGTCAAATCCTAAGAGTACCGTGTATATACAATATGATGAAAGCAAATGAACCTATGTTTTTGAAATGATATATATTTTCTTAGAGGCATACAAGGTAGGATTTTCTAAGACATATAGGTCACTTATGTTGTCTTATATGTGATATGGGATAGTTCCCACAATTTAAGATATTAGTGTCCATGTGAAACAAAGACTTTGTGTAAAACATATATATGGTAATTGGAAGAAGAACTACCTTGGTTTGGAGTTAAATGAGGTGATGTGGGCAACAGCTAGGGCAACTACAATACTATTATAGGAAAGAGCAATGTAGAAAATGAAAGATTTGAATGAAGGTACATGTAAGGACATGATAAAGACCCCTGCATAACTTTGGATCAGATCACATTTCAAGACATGTACAAAGTGTGATATTCTAGTAAACAACATGTGTGAGACTTCTAATAAGAAAATATTGGAACATAGAGACAAGCCAATCATCACTTTATTTGAGGGGATAAAACATTATATAACATAAAGGATAGCAAAACAGAAAAAGTTGTTGCACGAGTATGATGGAGCTATCTATTCTAGAATTCAGCTAGTCATTGAGAAGTATAAAAAGCATGCATAAGGGTGGACTCCAACATTGCATGGAGATGATGATCTTTCAATATTTGGTGGGACAAATGGTATTGAGACCTACTGTGTCAGTCTTAAAAATGAAGCATGTTCA